GCTGATCGCCGCCGGCATCAGCTCCGGGATGATTGACCGACACATACACGGGTCGACTCTTATTGTACTTTTTGGACAGTTTCGCAGCCAAACCGGCACTCAATTGGTCACCACTCGTGGCCGACAACACAGCAGTCGAGTGGTCGCCCACCGCGAGTGACAGGTCGGCCAATTGGGGGCCACCCGTAACCCCCTCATCGCCCACCCATACCATGAATGTCTGCCCCCCTCTGATGCACAGCAACCGTACGGTGTCTTTGGTGTCCAATTCGTATGTCTTCTCAATGATAGTAAACTCCGGCACCGATTCAGTCATCGCAACGACGGATCTGTTTGTCTGAAGAGATCATTAATTAATTAATAGTTTTAATTAAAAGTATTTAATTAATAAAAAGTTTTCCCAAAACTCAATACACGATAAATAGTTAACAAATAAAAGTAATAATTTAATACAACACCTAAAGTAGACTTATTTCACTAACCAATAGTGTACGACACATATGCTATACAAATAATAACACTAACTAACGCTAATTAATATTAACTAATTAACCATGAATTGAATTAAACATGCAATCTATTCATATCTATGGTGAGGGGACTAAACAAATAGCACACGTAATTCATAACGTTATTTACGGACAACTCTTTGCTGTCAAACCAAAACCAGTACTGGATTTGAACGCAAACACAAAACTGCGGTTAAAATCACTGCTATATTGACAACACTTACCATAAACTTCGGGAACCAATCAAGTGATCAATTATGGCCACAAAAGTAAGCGCATTATAATTGGTGTACAACTATTGCTAACTAATTATAACTATAGTTAACTAAATGTGTAAATAATTAGTTATATATTAATAAACAGTGATTTGAGTGCAAAACCATTGCCACACTTGCAATGCATGTAAACATACCATACGTTCATAAATTACGTGCTAAAAAGTTTGCGCAAACTTTTTGTGACAATACGTCAGTTAATTAATTAAATAATTAAACTATTTCTGACTAATTATAACTAATTATCAACTAATAGGGCCGCCATTTAAGCAAAATCGCCGACTCTTTTAGACGTGTTTTAAACGTAAGTATTATTTAATGAATTGATTTGTATTTTATCTCAATTTGTAATTAATATTAATATTATTTATATTTTTATTATAGATTTAAATGAATTGAAAGCAAACTATTGTCTCATAAGAAGTGGAAGAATAACCACAAGAAGTGATTGAGTGTTGAATACAAACAATAATTGAATGTAAATATAATTATTTAAAACAGTGTTAATATAATTGTGTATTAATTACAACTTATTGTCCATCACTTTAGGGATCAGTTCTAAACGTTTGTGTGAATGAAATGTCAATCAATTGATTGAATAATAATGAATGAAATGACGAGAAGAAGAGTTGGTCTCAGAAGTGATACCAAAAGGGTTGAGACCTCACAACCAAAAGAGGCTATAGATATGAGACAATCAATGGACAGATTCGGTGATGATTTGTGTCAACTATTGTTGTCTTATTTGCC